TACTGCAAGGTCGTTGGTATTGGTTTTCAACTCGGTTCCAACTCCGAGCACAGTCAAAGGTTGGGCCAGCCTCTTGTGTTTGACGCCGATTCTCTCCAGGTCATGAAGCAGCATTCAGACAAGCAGACCGTTTTCAATAAGGGCACTTTATCTTCGTGCAAGCTTCCAGATAGCTATGGCAACAAAGACACAGAACCATCGAATAGTCCAGAAATGTGGCTTGCTACCTGACTCTTTTGGAAGGCTGTACGTCCAGAATTTATTCTTTGCCTTCTTGTGCGCGGTGACATGTTGTTGCGTGGTAGAACTCCCCAAAAGGCAAAAAGAGGCCTTGAACCAGATGAGCAGCGATCCAATGGGCAATCTGGGAGATTTTGCTTTCCCTAACACTACACTCTCGAGACCGGTCCACGAGATTCATGTAACAGGTATGTGCAGCCTGTGGGAGGCCTGGTTCAACATCATTTCCCATTTCAGCTTCCATGATAAGCTCCCGTTTGGTGATTCTTGAAGCAGCATACTCAACACGCTATCGATAAGTTTCAAGGCGATGGCAACTTCACAGTTATGATCGATGCTTACAGTTGGCTGCTGAACCAGGCCAGGATCTTCGATTTGAGGCAAAGCCACGCAAATCTCAGAAATCTTGCAATGTTTCTGCGCCACTTGTTACAGATCAGTTTATTTTCGACCCAAGCTGGAAAGCAATCCCACCCATTGAAGGCTTTGCTGAAGAGTTTGTGAGTAAGCTATCTCATACGTAGAAGGCCCGGAAACAAGAACCGCGCAACCTTCCTACATGCCAGTTCCACAAGAGCCTGGGCGTGAATATGCGTCTGAATTTCGTTTACGAATTGGACGAGGATCGCTCAACAGACTTTGGAATTCCACAAGAGTGTATTCCGGTACCTGCAGAGAAGTAAAATTTTCTCGGCTGGACTCCCGTGAATTATGCTTCAACACTTGCGGGTGAGGATCTGGAAAAATTCTTGCGGTTCGTGTCCAGGCAAATTGCCAGTAACCCTGATATATGGAGTTCAACGGCTCTCCATTACTCTTGCTACCGATAAAGTCCGGGTCTGGCCAGTGTTCTGTGTTATATGAGTGCGAAGACGAACGTGTGAGGGAAAGCCGGCATGTCTCCAATAGATTGTGCAGTAAGATCGAGAGACAAAATTATTGTCAAGCTTCTGATCAACCTACCACCTTACAGATTGCCCCTCGTGCGGCAACAGATCAATCGAGGTTATCTGGGTAGGCATCCGATCCACTGGGCCGCAATAGAAGGCCATGTTGTCATTGTTCATTGTTGGACTTCTCAGGAGCGACTTAGAGCTTGAGGATGATTAATGCCATACGGTGCTCCATCTTGCCATTACGTACAGACACGCAATTCTTGTTGAATGGCTCGTCAAAAAGCATTCCAGTTGAGACAATCAATCGACGTGACCGGCACACATGGTCGGCGTTATAATATGCCACTGAAAGTTACAAGGAACAGAAAACCGTCGCCAGGATGATTATAGGAGCAGGATCGGACTATCAATCGCAAACCTCGGCCCACTGCTCCATAAAGCCATTGAGAATAATGATTGCGACTTGGCCACACTGCTCTTGTAAAAGACGTGAGGCTGAAGGACGTTACACAAAGCATTGGGGTGGCGATGGCACATGGACTTGGATGTCGTCGAAGCTCTCCTCAACTCGGACAGGAGCATGAATGAGAATGCCGTCACTCTCGGCAGGAAAGTTATACGGCTATGCACCATCATATTGCAGTTTTAAGCGTAGATTAGAATCTCTCGGGATATAAAGATTTCCTCCGTCGCATTCTCGAGCTTAATCCCTAAATGAATTTTGATATAAAGAACCATCTTGGCGAAACAGCTCTTGGCTTGGCTGGAGGACCAGATATCAGAGAGTCCTTGATCAAACAAATCAAGAAACAGAGACACCTTCACCTACAGAACGATCGTATAAGGCAGATGCTTTAGTGTAACGTATTGCTGCTAGGCAAGGGACGTCAAAAGACTTCTGTAGTAAGCACGCAAGCTTACTCTCCTTTCGTAAAACAGCTCCCCGGTCTCTGTTGTGATTTATAGCTCTATGTCGCCACTCAGCTTTGTTGGTTTTTATTAGTATCTAGCATTGCAGTCATGGGCTCCCTGGATGCCACGATACCCAAGGTTACGCAGCTTCTCGCTGCATTTTGATAGATACAGCTACACCCATCATCCCTTGCAAACCATATCCAATTAAAAATTCACATCTTTTGTTCCTTCACCTGCCTTTGCCGTAATATCTTAAAATGTTGTTAGGCGTGCCACTTTTTTCAAGCAAGCGGGCGTCGCTTGGCCACAGGTATCTAAAATCGATTGGATGGACAAGATGTTACATACTAGCCTCAGTCTGATGTGGGAACAAAGCTTTGAGAAGGTGCTACAAAAGTTCTGTTCCTATCATCAGAATGACCCAGAGTCATATCCATCAGGGACTCCTTGAAAACAGGCTTCTCACTAGGATCGCCCCTCGCCATCGAGACTTCCGCTACTTTCTACGCAAGACTTGTTTTGCTCTTTACTCTATTTTCACATTGCACGCCAACAATTTTCAGATTAAACAGTTTGCAAATATATTAAAGTGTGGGATATTCGGGGCCTCTTCAGTTTGTTCTTCAAACGTCCCGTTGCCACATCTCAGTCATAAAAGCAGCCTCAACGCCACACGACAGCGCCCATGACAACAGCATACGTGTAGAATTTAACCTCCTAGATATTATACACAATCTCTCTTACTACTCAGGTGCCTTTGCACTGTACGTGTACCCTCACTCTGCGTTATTGCTCTTATAATTCGCGCCTAGGCAGTAACTCTCTAATAGAGATTACTGAACATTCCAATAGTTAGGCCTCAGTTGTAGCATTGTAGCTAGAAAGATCCCAAAACTCCAACCACTATGTAAGTTGTAAATGTCATCGTATGTAGATGGGCTTCCTTCCTTGCCAGACTGCTGGCGCGGACACATCTCGCGCCAAAAGCTCCAAATAGCCTAACATAGCTACAACAACACCTCAGCGCTCGTCTGGCTTATCATATCAACTCTTGTGACGAACTAGGCACATAGCAATCAGGCTAGAAAAGGTGTAAAAGAGTGACTTGATTTAGAAAGAGGGTATGTGCGTGAGGAAGCGCGTACTTATACGCCTACGGTGTGCGTTTCATACAGCTTACGTAAAACACACCTTGCTCGGTGTGTTCGGTGAGCGTTAACACTATCGTCACAACTCTCCTTCACCTTAACAATTCCATATCAGTATCACATCATATCCCCCTTTGTCTCAAAGTTTGAAGAAGGCTGTTGGTCAACGGGGCTTTCAAGCAACCTCTCAAAGTTTACCACCCGCATGCCCAAGGCCTTCAGTCGGCGTTCACTCAAGCCCTCAAGTCTGATCTTAGTTATTGAGCAAGTTTTCTTGATTCTGATCGCGGGTATCAACCGAGCAGTTACGTCCACAAGGATCCTGAGGCCTGCTGAGTTTATACGGGATCTGATGTGCCGTAATGGTGCTGGACGCCAGCAACTAATATCCGTAGGGGCTGGAGAAGCTCTCCTGCATTGATTGATTTGCCCAGCCAATGAAGGTCCTCCCGGCCGCAAGTAGAAGTTGGGCTTGACGCCAACGGAGATATAAATCTTCTTGCCGTTGAGCGCTTTTAAACTCTTCATCTGAATGGGACCGTCACTGTGAGGGGTGGGGGATATTGCCGATGGGGGAGGTTGCTGATGGGGGAGGGTGTGCCGAGGAAGACCTGGCCACGGGGTGGTCTGTCAGTCAGTCGGTCGATGGTTACCGAGGAGTATGACTTTTTTGGAAGTGATTACATTTTAGGGAGGTCTTCCATGAATGCTTTGATATATGTTTTCGGGAGGCTTGAATGGAGGACTAGACGTACTCTGACGGTAAAAGTCGGGATAAATCTGGGGAAAATCGATATGCTAAAAGGTACTTTCTAGCCAGTCCGAAATCCAGATCGGTTCTTCTGGTAAAGTTTCTGATTATAAATTAGTATCTGATTACAATACCGATAGGTTGCATATACCTTATGTACAGGTGTGTCTTCTGGGATAGTGATTGCGGGATATCACAGCGACAGAAGAGTCAGGTTGATCACTTATGTGACGTGATATTTGCCGTATCTCGTCTACTCTCTCCCCTCATCTATTTCTGCTGCAGGTTGGAAAGTGGGGGGGTGGCTTCACCCGCAGCATGTCTATGGCCGGAGCTCGAATGAGGTAGGTGGCTGCGGTAGATATACATAAACTACGACTCACAGAAAGCCAGATACTGAATGGTCGGTAGACGCCATCAACTCGGTATGTTGTCTTTTCAATAAGATTTTGTGCGACATTGATAGACCGTCTTGTCTGCTCAATAATTGACTCATTTGTTCAGCGTGATCGAAAAGCTTAAGGCCCTCCTTCATAAGATTAACAACGTTAGCTGCTGGAAGAGTAGTAGTACATACGCATTTCCAGTTCTATTCTCACAAAACCAACATCAGCAAGCAACCCGTACACCACACAGATCATCTTCTCCTCCATATTCTCAGTCTGTTCTCTCATCCGGCCTAATAGCAATGACCCTGGTTAGACGGTGACTGTACTTTTAAACGTCCTGCTCTCCTGCCATTAAGAACTCTGATTCAAAACACCAACCACACCCTCAAGCCTCAGCCGCACCACCTCGAGGAATTGCCGAAGTTCAAGGTAAATGAACTCCATGCTAGCACAGCCGGGGAGAACTGATGGGATCAAAATCAGCACCAGAAACTCTTACCGAAGCCGGCTTCCGAGAACCAGAGTTGCCTGCTGCCACGCATTTAGTGCCGCCGTCTCTCGCCGCTTGATTAGAACGGAGTTGCATTTTTCGATATTTGGAGTGAACGGAAGTTGATGATGGAGAGGAAGAAGGAAAATCTGGAATATCCGACCTCATCTTATGACAGACAAGGAGGTGGTGCTGTTTCCTCCGAAGTCTATATCCAAGACCCTATTCAAGTCAACGAAGTGTTGGCTCAGAATTATACACTCCATTCAAGGTAAGTTAATCCATGTTCACAAAGATATTCAACCAATTGACTATAGAGCCAAACTTGGTCTTTTTCTCTTCCAGCTGCTATTATGGACCCCTTATGACCACATGAACAGGAGCCTCACGATGAATCTATGAGCTCCAGACCTCGCGACGTTCGTGGACCGCGCACATTCTTTCCGCGGTCTGGCATGGGGTAAGGAATCAGATGCCTACGAGGTCGTCAACCGAGCAGCGCAGCCGCTCTCGATCGTTGTCACGCGAAACTTTTCCAAACCAGCCACAAGCGATGTGAAACAATGGGAATTCGTTCGTGTTCTTTTGGTTCTATATACAGCTTGAAGTCTCGCCCTGTCTTTCTGGAGCGTTTTGACCACGCATTTGACCCGGAGCTCATGGCACCACTCCTCAACATGCTCTTGTGATAACTTCAGTCAAGCGATGATGACTGGAAGAAGCTGTTCCGACCGGAATTTCCTATGATGTACTCGCCACTCAACACGGAAGAGAAACCCGGCCATCATGGCACAGGCCTAGCAATACCATTTGGCAAGGCGCAAGGAGCGAATAGAGAGCCTATAGTCGATCTCTTCGTGCTCAAGAAACACCCTAACGTCAAAATCCTAGCCGAAACGCAGCTCTACGTCTGACCTGCTCCGAGGGTTCTCCTTTGCTGGAGAATCTCCGTCTATTCCCAACCTGGAACAGAACCCCTCTAGAGAGGAGATTGCACAAGAAGAGTGGGAGACGCAAATTATCGCGTGTCAAAACCATCTCAGGGACAAATAGAAACACAAACAAAAGATGTTAGATCGCAAACGCCTGAATCTCTCGGAAAGACTCTCAGAAAGAATTGCCACCAATACATAGGACGATACAGACCAGTATATTGGCGTGAATAAAGTGGTCGTGGCAGCTGCTTGTCAGACTTTTCCAGTGGTGAAAAATACAATGGCCGAATCATCTAAATCAGGGATAGAATTTGACGTATTACAACTGAAAGGAGCTGATAGCAGATGGTTTGTGTGGTGGCTCTTACTTTTAACACAGATGGCTAGTTCAGGAACTCCATGCATGACTTCGAGGAACGAAATGACGGCGGGACTCTGTCCAGGACGTCGGCACAGTCCATTGTCGCGAACGTCGAATATTGTGGGCTGCCTTCCAATCGTTGGACAACAGCCAAGGCTTCTTCAGCGGTATGGAAGATGTAAACGGGAAATACCTGCTCGAGGCTTCTGGGGCAAAGTCTGTGCTGAAGCTCTATTTCGATGGGCTGATACCGGAAGCCATTACACGCGAAGGGGAGATCGAAGTCGTTTACGTCTACTCTACTACCTAATAGAGATCTGTTCGAAATGGAAGAAGCGCTTAGAAAAACGCGATTAATGTAATCTGGGAACACGATGGCAGCAGAACGAGAACCAAGAGGAGGAGTCGACAGCTGCAGATTACCTGACTTCGAATCATATCGAGGTGGGAGACCTTGAAGTCAGCGACCTCACGTCGGAAGAGTCTTGGGAGTTAGTGGAAGATCAGAATCAAGTTCCTGAAGCCTTAAGACAGCCGCAGGTCCTAAAAAGGCTTCTACTTGCTATACTTAAGGAGCTAAGCAAGGTTCATAGGAAGTACTCAGCACAGGATGAGTGCAAGGCCTAGACTTCATCTTCTCTAGATTCTTATTTTGAGATATCGAAAACTAAGTATTGTTATCTGTCTCTTTATTGGTAAAAAGAAAACTAAATTGCTACCGATCTAGTTCTAGCAGCGTTCTAAGTTTCTCTTTCTTCTCCGTGGTTTTGCTGTTGGTTTAGACTTGACCTTTGAATCTATATCACGCCTTTCTCTGCTACCTAAGAGCTTTTTGCTTTCTGGCCTGCCTTCTCATTGAAGCAGATACTCATTCTTTCTTTTCCTCATACATGTGCTCAGTACCTCGACACACATTAAAAGCCGTTACTTATGTCCTCAAACCTTTGGATTAGACCATCATTGAGGATATTCCCACGCGGTTCCTAGGCATAGCTACCATTGAGCCACCGTAGAAGAAACACATTTTTTCTCCCACGGCTCAGTATGCAATCAAACGCGAACATCTGTTTTTCTTCCATAACAGATGCTTATGGCATATGCTTTCGCTGCTAGGGTAGTGACGTCGGCGCCCCGGACGTCGGGACCGGCAAACGCGGGGTTCAGGATTCCCAGAGAAGGAGAGTAGCCCAAGAGAGTCTTTCGCGACAAATTCATCCTCCTCAATACCAGCTGTTTCGGTATCGGAATCCGCTTTGTAGTCATAGGTGCTGCCTGAATGCGGTTGTCCATTGCCTGCCGTGACCCGGTTGACCCGCTGACGCCGCCACTGGCAGGCTGTCTGTGTCTAGGATAATTCGAATCTCTGTGGTTGTGCAGCTTCTTCTGTAAATGATCTCAATCTTGGGTTAAGCACTTCTGGGTCGAAATTAGAAGGCTCGAAAGACAGGCTGGGCGTAATTGCAGATTCGTTCGAGTTGCAAGCTATCCCATCTGCCAACGGTTCGGGCGGAGTGGAACTCAATACAAGAATCCATAAATTGGTTCAGAGAACCTGTAATCGAGTTTGGCGAAAGGTGGTTATCCATATCACTTCGAGGGTCAGTTGTGATATCAGGGAGCATGCAATCGGAAAGCAGGCCTGGATAGTTTGTCTCTTCCTCATCGTCTGGAAAGGCCATGCCCGTGCCAAATTCGCAGTGTGCATCCGTCTCCTCGGGGCTTTCTTCTGTTCTTTTTCTTTTCTCGCGCGAGAAATTGCCTCAGATATGGTGCGTGTCTGTCAAACGACAATACAGAGCCACCTCGTTGGGCAGAGTCTCGGATGGCAGTGAACAAAATGTGGGATGCTTCTCGTTCAGCTCGCCCACTTTGATGTGTCGAACCAGGTCGGCGTCTCGCGTTCAGGAGCGGAGTCGAATGGCAGGATCCTCATGTTTGGCTGCAAGCACCGAGGATAGTGTGCTGAACGAACGAGTGTGCGCCGAAGCACCAATGGCCGGCACACCACAGGAAGCGATTTTAGATGGGAAAAGCAATGTTTGCCCCAGTGTTCTTCCTTGACAAACCATTCGATGTAGGCGAAGCAGAACTCAGGACCGGTTCGCACGACATCCCGGTCAGATGCTACAGTAGTGAACGGCAGATTCTTGACCACGAGACCATATAAGTCTCGAATAGCTTGTTGCGTGTCTTCCGTGCCCAGCTGAGCTTTGATGGCCATTCGTTCGGCGGTTCGCCTCAATTCGGGGATAAGGTGGACAATCTGGCTGATGTTGCTGGTTGTGAGGTTGACAGCAATTTTGGCCTTCATCAGGGGTTTCCAATCTCGGCGCTTGTGCACCCAGTCGCGACAGTACCTGAGGAGTTCTTTTTTTTTAACTTGCGTCAAAGGTTTTGAAGCTCGTTGGTAAGTTCCGCTCAGACTGTCGCATCATCCGCTTCATTGCGCCGGTTTTGGAGGGTCGCAACTTCGTCCCTTCATTATAATCTCTGCTCTACTGCGGCGGCCGGAAGCACCGTCGGGGAACCTGGCTCGCAGGACTTCTCGAGTCCCTGGAAGTAATCGCAAGCGGTGCGGTCAGTCTTCCCGTCTATGAAAGTCCTCAAGCTGTCGACAGAAGAGCAATTAGCTCGGTAACTAGCTCCGTGTATGCGCGTGCCCTTCTAAGTGATGCGTTGCGATCTTTCGACCTCGGTGTACTGGTCTAGTCTTGTCAGAGGAGGAGCCTTATTCACTTCGCGGGTATCATACCATCGACTTGTTTCCTAAAATAGTGGCGACTTTGGTAAACCAAGAAAAGAACATCGAAGTATCCAGCTGTTCTCAAGGCACGGCACGGCGGAAAGACGTGGTGAAAGCTCCCTGTTTGAACGGTTCATTCGATGTGGTCCTCTGTGTGAGCATCGACACCCCCTTCAATACAAGCATCGACACTACCTCAGTATAAGCATCAACACCCCTTCATTATCAGCATCGACACCCCCTTCAGTATAAGCATCGACACCCCCTTCAATACAAGCATCGACACCCCCTTCAGTATAAGCATCGACACCCCCTTCAGTATAAGCATCGACACCCCCTTCAATACAAGCATCGACACCCCCTTCAGTATAAGCATCGACACCCCCTTCAGTATAAGCATCAACACCATCTCAGCCTCTCTGCCTGTCTTGTAGGCAAAGGCGCGAAAATATACTTCTGCCCTTGATAGTATTTATTCTACTGTTGGGCCTTCTGTTGCTAGCAATTCTTTTTAACTAGAGTTGACATAGAGGCGGAAAAAACCCTTCAACTCGGGTACATTTAGTGCTGGCGTATCTGGTTGCAGTGCTGAATGAACCGGAATGTTGTTGAATTTATCATATCCGCCACATCCAAGAACCCATACCACACCTTTCGTATTCGTCACCTACAACCACTCTTTAACAAAATACTTCATTATCGCCGCTGTCTCTTAGTGCTGCATACGCAAAGTTGTGGGTTTCTTTTTTTTTTCTTACTGCTAAACATCGAGGTAATAAAAACATGCCCATCAACAAGTCCAGCAAGCTAACCGCAATCGCAAATCAGAACAGCTTTTCCCCATTTCACAGGAGTCAGATTCAGAATCGTCAGAGTCGCAATCAAGAGCTCAAACCAAAATGTTCGCATTCTGCTGTTCTGCTCTCAACAATCTGTACCCGCCATCGAAATCCCTTCCTGGATGACCAAGGGGGAATGGCTTCAAATCTGCCAACGCCAGCCAGTAAGAAACAAAAGAGCGATAGACCCACAGCGCGACTGAGGACAAAGAGGTCCAAGACAGCGAGATCCATGCAGCATCTTCCAGGATGTTGATCCCGATCACACACCCAGGCAGTCCATTTTTAACCCCCACTCGATTACCCAGTCCCAGCCTTCCACTGGCCGCAAGCTCACCAAGAGTCCTCAAGGATGAAAACATTATCCGCCAGCTTCTTGACAACGTCACAACCCCCAAGCTACCGAAGCCCGGTGTCTATGTGATCTAGAAGACTCGCTCCCTCAATCGATGCCGAGTTGGGCTCTCTCCCCATAGGTTTCCTACACAATCTTTCCTTCAATTCCCGGACACGCGACTTTGGTATCGACGGCGCAATTTTTGCAAAAGTTGGAGATCCTGCTAGCGAAATTCGCCATGGATAGGCACGGGCGTTGAGAAGGCTACCCATCGCTGCCTCGAATTGGACAAAGATATGAACCCGCATGGACCACCGAGGCATCTGACCGGCTGCTTGATATGGTGCCCTTTTCCGGATTCAATGATGTGTGACCCTCTGAGCGATTTCGCCCTATGGTATGCTCGTCATACTGCCCCTCCTTGCTTTTGCTCTGCATCAAAGTCCTTGCTAACTTTGTGCTTCTTCAGCGCGACTGCTACTACCATCAAAGAACACTGGCCCCATGGGGCTTCAGAAAAGACACGTTGACTTCCGCATGTACATCAACCCAATCGCCGATACGAACGCGCGGCAACTTGGACCCCGACTTCTAGCCTTGTACAGTACCCAGCCCGCAACAAGCCTTAGCCATGCTTTCATATTGTGGCCTTTGCCCATGCCCAGTCTCTGTAAGCCTGGTGACTGGAGATTTGCACAAGACCTCGATAACGCCTTTTCCATATCGATGTTTGGCAAGCTGCGATTTGGAAAATGTTGGGGATGCTTCAGCGACAGATTTCACCGTAACGTGTGGGCAGCGATGCCGGAAATCCGCCACGTCTGCCGAGATCAAGGCTGGCAATTCAGAACGAGCTCAGGTCTCTAGACTCTCTTCGCGCAATTCTGATTCAGGGTCATGTCTGGCGCGACGTCGCCATTTCTCTTCAAACTACTCACCCACAGGATCTGTTGAACGACACCGAGGCCGCTCCAGCATTGAGAAACGCAGGCTCTCGCCTTCTTCTCCGCCATAAACCTTGAATCGGGACTTTCTCTTGTTTGTGGGCGGATAATCTGGGTAAGGCAGGCGTTCGGCGATATCTCGAGTGTCCTAGGTGTCCACCAGACCAGACTGCGGCAATCCCAAAATACTTTGGTCATCGGTCAACTACAGCATATTTGCTGTGGTGGAGGAATGCTTCCTTTTCTAATGAACAAACCAGACAATAAAAACAACATGACTCGGACTCGTGACGGTAGCAGGTTATTGACAGAGGATACCGGGATGGATTAATCATGGTGTATGCAAAAGCTGACCATTACCTTACGTATTGCCTTCCATGACGCTCCATGCCAACCACTCGTGTCAATTCTAGCACTGATGATGGCCATGATAGCAATGGAGGTATCTGACCAGAAGACCCGTAGACTGTAGGGGCTGTATGACCGTCTGGCCGTGGTCACCTCTCCTGGCTTTTCGTCATCGGACAAGGAAATCCAACCTGCCGCCATATAAGACGCTCTTTGTCTCACCGGTAACCGCATGGGTTGAACCCCACCACCCAAACCTTCAAATCACCTTCCATGAAATGCATGACGCCAAAGTGATCGAGAGCGCGTTCGCAGTGTTCCGACGACGTTAGCCATGGCCTCTCCGTCGGCCTCCAAGCACCACAAAACCTCCACAGCCGCGGCTGCAAATCAACAATGAGAATTAGAAACCCCCTTTCCGAGAAGAACTACAACACCGCCACGTCAGATCCGTCATCAAAGACCCGACGAAGTGAGAGCAAAGCCTGAGAAGCAAACTAAGAGACATGCCGAGGGAAATGAGTTGTGGTAGTAGAAAAGACAAGCAGTGGGGACACATCCCGCTCATAATTGACGACAAGGAAGCTCGAGACGCATTCGCAGCCTTGGGCCAGACTCTGCAAGCAACGCTCAAGTCGGTTGTGTGACCACTGAACACATTCCCATCCCGGTTATGTAGAGAACACCTGCAGAGGACTGGTGGTTGAAAAGAAGCTCTGGTGTGTATAATTCGAATCAGTGAAGTTTCGATCGTTTCGCTTTATACCATCGAAGCGGATGCCCCCTGGCAGAGGCATTGCACAGGATATGGGTAACTAGCTGTCAGGCTGATTACCCAACGTACCACATACCCATCACTTCTTCCACCATCAAAAGCCATCTGGGTGTGCCAAATACTATCACAAACCTGAGACTTAAAAGCCAAGGGCCATTGATAGGTACGTAAATGATGGTCAATGGCTGTTACTAGGAAAGAAACCAGTCAGGGTAATACTTGGGTTGCGTTTGCATTTGATCAAGAACAAGGCCGTATCACACACACACATAAACACACATACGGGCTACCACCACCACCACCAGGTTCTCCAAATGGTTGGTCTTGCATCAAAACGCCGGAATCCCAGCCGTCGATTAAGCAGATTGAGATGTAATGATGATACCCGTCCCCCCTTTCAACGACGCCATCACCAAGCTATTGCCTCTAGAAGATACAAGAAAAGGACATATCGCTGAAGGTATCACACAAGCGTCGAAAGTCTCGTGCAAATCAAAACACAGACCATGCTGAGCCCCACCCCCTCTAGATTCCGAAATATGTTCTCACCATAGAAGTCTCAAGCCAATTTGTCTGCAGGCTTTGACATGATGATGAATCATCGCCCTCTCTCACTTCCCTTTCGCTCCCGCTCTTGCCTCCCCTCCCAGCTGTCCTCATGACCAGCACCATTGTGCCAAGATGGAGTGGTGCGCTACACCCACGACTTGTTTATAATGCTCGCCAGCCTTTCCAAACATAGGTTAATCATCATCCGCAGCCTTTTTTTCCTATTCCATACTCTTTTCAGTCGTTGAGACCCGTAACTCAACAATACCGCTGCGCTGTACCTTACCAGGGCGCGGCCAGCTGCGTGTTGCTGGTGTACGCATCACCTGAGACGGCGAAGTCGTGGCACGCGGGATCGGAACCGAGGATATCGGTCAAGGCTGGTGAGGCTGCCGCATGAAGAAATGGTTGCGAAGCCAGTGAGTGGCTTGTATAGCAAGCAATTCCTTTCGTTGTGTCAATATATGGAGAAATGGAAAACTGTTCAATGGGCATTGTGAAGACAACCGTTTGCGACTCGGGTGTAGTTGGCCGGACAAGTGTAGATGATGAAACAGTAAACGAGAAGATCGATGATCCATTTTCATACATACATCGAACAATCGAGTAGCTCAAGGTCAGTTGCTAGATTCGAATAATGGTTATGTGTCCATGTACACGTTCTTGTCCTGTCTGCTTTTCCAAATATCCCCCAGTCATTTATTGCCTGTTTTGTGGCAGAGTTAGAATGCCTGTGATATGTCCATTCGGGGGGGCAAGTAATAGTCCCATGTAATAGGATATAGGTCGTCTTCTGTGTGACTAAGTATAGCACCTTCATTGCCCGTTGATGTTGCCGACCTGCACAATCAGGTATTTTCTCTTGCTCATGTCTCAAGATTCAACTATGATAAGCTCTTGGGACTTGACGTACCGATAGACTCTTTTTTTTTTTTTGAAATTATCGTGAATATGCCTCCAGGCGGTCTACAAGCTGCTGTTCGGTCTGTGCTACGGTGTCGTTTTCCCGTCTCCGCGTCGCGTCGCCGACGCGACGAAGCTTGTTGAAGATCTGGTCGATAAGCTCCTTGTCGACTGCATGGTGGTTACCAGAGTAGTTGTTGGAAGCTTGGCCCTTTCCAGTGATGGTGATCATGTGCTCTGGATGGAAGAGCCCGGTGCGGGCCTTGTTGACGATGTTGGGCTCAAGGTCGCAGTAGATGGCTCCGGGAACGTACTTGCGCTGGCCTGAGACGATTTTGTCAGCAAACAGGGAGAGGTAGAAATTCAGCACATCTCTTGGGTCAAGGCATATACCAGTCTTGGAGAAGGAGGTGCTGAAACCATGGTCGGGGTCGGCCTTCTTATGCTGTTATATGTGTTGGATCATGGGGATCCCCAAGAGTGGAAGTCCCATGCGAGGGTTAAGAGTCCTGTTTGATACGCGTCTTTTTTCTCTGTCTGTTTATGGCTCTTGTCTAAGGGACCGTAGAAGTGAGAGCTGAAGTGGTTGCTGAAGACATTCCCGGCCCGACTGCCAGTCATGCGGGGGTTTGACAGCCGACTGCGGAACCGTGATTCCAACTGTTGCAACAGTATGAACACAAACTCCCTGCCCGCTGGCGGTAATTGTTTTCGTCAGGTGAAGATTTGCAGTGGCATGCTAATCCAGAATTGAAACGGCCGCGGCTTCTTCGAATGCTTCATGAGCGGCATTTTCATTTTGTTCTTTGAGGCTTCGATTCCTTAAAAAGCCAGACAACCGCTATCGACATCCCTAACACTCCCGGAAGTTGAAAGCATCATGCGAAACCCGAAGACTTCAGAGACCCTAGTTCTGGATTCTTTTGAGCCCTTACTACTTCCAGTGAAGTTTAGTATCGAAAAGCTTGCGGACTATTCCCCGAAGCTGCACGCCTTCCTCGTCACCCTTAGGCGCACTTTCTGTCTTGAAGGACTCTTGAGTGGAATGCCTATTGTCCAGTAGTCTGGAATCTCTTCATATATCGCTATCCAACTCGATCTTTCATGTCATAATGGCGGTGGTGACTTCTCAAGCTCACGAGTGATGTATCCCTCCTCCGTCACCATCACCACCACAGCCACCAGTCCCGTCGATTCCCTCGGCTTCCAGTAATAAATGCCGCTGGGATGATCTTCAAAGACATTGCGGATGCCCGCCCGCTCGCCCAACCCTAAACGCCGCCTAGGACGTAATTCGCCACCGCAGCTGTGAGCCAAGAGTTTGATCTCTGAGGCCGTGCCGATGCAAGTTATCATACAGAGGGCGAGTATGGTCACCCCACGATGCCCCATGAGACTTTTGACATTCCAGGGATTTTCGTGAGACTGAACACCGTTTGGCAAGTGCAACATGAGCCGGCAACTCGGGTGGAAAAGAAAAGCCTTGTAAGGCTTGCATGAAGACTTGGCCGCACGATTGCCAGTGCGAGACACGGTACGTATAAGCAACGGCTGGCTTTGGGACAGTATAAATTTGTGGCGGTGTCATCTCTAGCGGCGGTCTTGAGTTGGTTTAGATACATAGCGAAGTACTGGTTGTAGCGGCGGACCAACGGTGCCTCATGTTCTCAGCAAGGTTGAAGAACAACATCGATAGCGTATCGAAGCTACAGGCTATCAAAGCCGAGATGTAAACTTTGCGCAAGATGTCGGCGACATATTTGTATCAGCCCAGATCCGATGTGGGTTAGTAAACCCGTGGATATAACGCATATGGATGGAGATGTCGTTTGCCCTAATCAGGTTCTCCAATCGTTGAAGTTGACAGTTTCCCTCAGAAGCGAAGGTATAGAAGTCAGCAACCTCGTCCGACTAAAGAATCTTACATAGTGAAGGCCATAGAGCAGCAAGGAACGAGTTAAAGACTGATTTCCGCGAGCTGCGGGCAATGGTGAGGTCGCGTGCCAGCTCACCTGCAATTTCAGGATCAAGACTCATGCTCCGTAGTTGTGTGTATTTGAGATGGTAGCGAAACGTCGAGTCATGAGCCAGCAGCGCCCGGTTAGGTTGTCGCTTGTGAGCTACTTGGTTACGAACGGTGTGTAACAAAGAAAGATGTTTTAGAACGAATGCCTGTGTAGCTGAACTAAAGCCTGTGTCCGCGGCCTCTGAGAAATAGTAACTATTGCGGCATCTTCTAGTCTGTTGTTGCTGAGCAGATGGAGAAATTGGGTGTTAGTCACTTTGATACTAGCTAAGAGACCTTGTTTCGTGACGCTGATTGCTTGTGAAGTATCTGTAGATTGGATGAAGATGTGTCACCGAAGATAGTTGCTTCTTTCTATGTGGTTAGGACGCATGATTTGAAGCTTCAGAGAACTCGTGGGTCTAAGTTTAATGAGAGTGGTTGTAAACTTTGTAGGAGGAGACCGTCTGAATAATATGCTCTTATGTTATAAAGACTCAAAGAGTTATCGTCCGTATTCTAAGTTCTTCACTACTCCCAAAATATACTGGACGGCAATGAAACTCTTTGAATATCTCACTGGTCCTTACTCTTGAGTAAGTTGCCAACCTATCATGTATTTTCAGGTGTCTTGTTCTCCCTTGAATACGTTTCCGAAAATGCTGGGGGCCTGGTGGATGGTGTAGATGCCAACGGGCTCGACATGCGTCAGCGGCATGTTGTCGCCAAAGACCTTGTGTAGGGCTGTCATGAAAAGTGATCTAACGTCTTTTGCCGGAACCAAAGGACGTATATTGTCACCCGCATCTTGCATGGGCTGAGCCAACTTCTTGTATCGCGCGTCCGGAACCGAAGAAAGCTACCAAATTGACTACAGGCATGCTGATTCGTCTCCCACGCGATAGGGACATGGACCAAAACTCAACGATGTGGTACTAACCATGGTTTTGCAGGCCTTCAGCTTTACCAGACTTTGTAGACTACAGATTCAGTGTCTTAACATTCGTATAGAAGGACTCCGCAGCTATCGTTGCTTGGCAGTGCAGCGGGAGTGTAAACTGGGTAGCAATTGCGTGTTCTCGCGATCTCAGTGGTCCCGGTCTGAGACAAGGCCTTGACCTCATCGCACAATAAGTGAAGTATTGCCAGTTTCGCCAAGGACAACGATTTGCTGTGCGAGTCGGCGAGAATGTTGCGGCGAAGCATGCGTTATATGACTCTCACATATCGCCTCATGGTGGTCAGAGTTAGCAACGACGCTTCTTTGTTGACAATGCCTTGTGCGCCGCAGTCTATGTCGCCCGTTTTTACGTTGGCGCTATAATCATGTTAGCTGCGTAGCAATGCCTGTGGCTACAAGTATACGTACCAGGAGAAGCAAATACGTCCTTATTGGGGTTCTTGTGGTGAGAATTGGTAGGTCGTCTTGCTCTCACAAATAGCTGCGAAGTGTGCTCAGGCAGCCCTGCGGGTCAAAAGGCAGGAAACCAGCGTTCATGTAGTCTGTATACCTTGTTTCGCATTGTTTTTTTCAGAGATACCGGGCAAGATTCCAGTTTCCTGACTTGTTGTTGACAGAGAGTAGGTTGGGCTCGCAACGAACTCCCTATGAGGGAATTGACGTTGAGAGGGCATCTGAACCGGTCAGAATCAGGTCAAGACACCGAATGCTCGGTTTCTGGTGCAAGCAGTATGAATCATCGTATCGTCCTACTCACTCTCCGACTTCTTAGTACGAACGAGTCTTCGGCAAGGCGAGTATCGCTCAGAAGAGTATGACTGAGTTGGGGGCAACCGGTATAGCCAATTCCAGCGACCAACTCGAAGCTGCGCTTACCCTAGGTTGTTGAAATCAAGTTGGGGAGACACCAGAGTCAAGTCGCTTCGCAAAGGGGTGAAGAGAGAGTATCACCTGCTGCTCGCTTCTTGAGGGTCTGTTTGTCGAATGGCCTGTATCGAAAGCTTGTTGTAGAATGCTGCGTTTCTTACTGCACTGCTCCAGCTGCCTTGTTGGCGACAATGAATGATTTGCATGCTCCGCCAAGCCCGGAGTGGCCTTCAGCCCAGGTGAACCAAATTGTACGGCACCATACTCCAATCCGCTGGCTTTTCGGTTTTTACTAAGATTGAGATGAGGCAGCACGCTCTCTGATTGGAAGGATGGATTGGTCTCCGTGCCTAATTTGCAGAAGGGCTGTTGTTGCCATTATCGCCAACAACCGTAGTCTTTCCGCCGCTGATGCATCCCGAGTCGTAATCTTGGTCTTCGTGCTTGCAGAGTTGGGATCTGCAACAGCAGAACATTTAGACCTCTTGATTGGGGAGTCTTTCATCGAGATGGGTGTCACGAAATCACTGCTGCCTCATTTGCCTGGATGACAACGAAAGTCGGCAAACTCTTTGGCATCTGTTGCAGGGCTTGAATTCTGAGCTTCTACGGAAGTAAAGAAACGTGACGCTAACGGAGATTCGAGGGTCTGGCTCGGGGAGGGGGTTCGAGGAAGATGACTTCCGGACGTATAGGTATGCAACTGGTCCTCGGTCACTTATCGCTGCCAAAGGTTGGTGATGGGGAGGTTACTTACGTTGGTCTAAATCGGCTGGCATCTTTATGGGCTCGCACGGTAAATACAAGAGAAGAGTCTTGTCAGAGGCTAAATGAAGTCATAAATGGCGCTGAGAATGATTCCGACGCTGCCCGGGTTGTCGGCAAACTCGGCCTGGGCCCAACTAGAGCAATGCCTGGGCGCCTTGGACACTCTCTGCTGCATACTAGGATGCCCTGTTGTTCCATACTTGCTTGGCTTCTTACAAGAAAAGAGCTGATCTCAATTTTTCGAGATTTTTGCATGCCGTGCAGGCACAGCCAGCAGCATGGTACAGTAAGAGTTATTGGTGGTCTTTGCGGGTGAGCAGTATCGGGCAAAGTCCTTAGAATCGATCAAACGACTGAAACATGCTGATGAAGCATATAATATTGACCCGGTGTGCTGTATTGAGGGAGACAAAATATTGCTCCAAAACTTGAGCTTGACATTAGGGCGGGGCTAAGCAGTGCCATGAGCCATGCCGAGGGCGGAGACGGAAGAGAATACATGCCGAACTTGTGTGGTCTTGAAAGGTTCTCCGTCATGGAAGGAGGATCACTTTGAATTGTCAATAGGTGCAGGAGGCAGGGAAGTACTTGCGTATCTTTCGACTGTTTTCCAGAGCCGGGCTGGAAGCATAACGCTGGTTGTCCCAGATCCTGTGTCCCACTATAGGTATCGAATACTGTGGGTATCTTGCGAAAGTTCTGTTCGTTGCAGGAAGCCCACTTGTATTTAAAGATGACGGGGTCAAGAGCGGAGAGTTTGAGAGATTCGGACAAGTCTCTCTGTCAAGGCGGACGCATCCATGGCAAGTTCAGCATCGGTATACACACGCTCTGCAAACTCCCTTGTCTGGCCCGGTGCCTGATCTCGACGGCGAACTCAATGCTGAACTTGCCAGCCTCAACATAGGCTCAATTTCCGTGACCATGTCATAGGTGAAATTCGTTCATGCGTCGGCAAAGCCCGTACTGCGTTGATGCTGATCTCCCGTGGCGCTAACTTTGTCAAAGTTGAAAGTGGTGATACTGATTCCAAGAGACGTCTGACTGGGTGGCACGGCGATTGTTACTCTGAGGGAGTCTGACTGGGTTGATTCCTGTGGCTTTCTCTCGGTTATGTTTCAAGTTGGGACGTAGACATTGGCGGAAGCAATGGTTGAGGGGTTGAGGGGTCCTGACTGAGGCTTTGGCTCAATTAGTTTAATTTGGAATGACACATGGACTCTCATGTTTGAATGCCCGTGGAGGTTTCTTACTGTTAACAAAAACTGCTTCTCTCAACCTTTCAACTTCGTCTGCCTTCTCAAGTGTTTGCATAGAACACATCTCGCGACTTATCCATAGCTGCTGATTGCGGATGTGTGTTAGCTGTCCACTGACTTTGCATCCTCTAAGTTAGTAACTCACTACCCGAACCATTCGTGCGGATTTCAAACTTGCTGGCGGCCTTAACGACAACCCGATCCTGATCAACGGCCCCGAATGCAGAGCAAGGCTGACGTGTAACCTCGTTAAAGTAGTATGAAGAGATACGGCGCCATGGCCGCCGCGGGGGTGTAGACAGCTATCAGCAGACCAGTAAGAGCAATAATCTTTTGCGGCTGGGACCTCATTTGGATGTTAAAACTTGGCCTACTGGATCATTTAGAGAGTCGGGGAGAAGATCGTAGGGCGGAGAAGTGATTGAGCGGTAAACGGGAAACGGGGCACATTGGGTGGACTTGATACTTTCTCTCGTGGTAGCGTCCAAGAAGCTTGCAGAACAGTCTCGTAGGCATTAGTCCGAGAAGCATTTACACAGTTAACTTGACTTACATGCTGCGTATTCATTTCAAGCATCATCGCGAGGATAACTTCACTAGCATATGCTTGTTTTCCGGGAATTAGAGCGCCATCATGCACAAGTATTGCAGCTAGAAATACCGATTTGACGTCCGAATGCAAGTCGGAACCACATCAAGATATGCCGATCATGGTGGGTAAGTCATTTAAGTAAGCTGATGGAAGCTTGAAAATTGCAAAAAAGTATGACGGGTAAGATGCTGGATTAAAATACAATTTTTCGTTTGTCGAGAGTCTGAAAGGCCTGAAAGGAGCAGGTTGCGGAGGATCAAAGACGCTGCCGTGACGTATCTTAGCTTTGTAATCAAACGTAGGAGGAAGGAATCCTGGGGCCATTTACTAACTTCCATTAAGAGCCAACAAAAGTGACCCAAGGCAAAGCTTTCACAAGAAAGAGAGTCCGCTAACAGACCCCTGCTTTGGCTGCCGAGGCGGGAAGAATACTCGCAAAGAAAGCTCTACACAAACACTGTCTTCATTATGTACACAAAAATAATATTATCAAAGGTCTTTTGCCAGTCCGTGGCCTGTTCCCTCCTTCCCGACGCCTGCTTCCCCACAAACAACAAACAGAAGCACCACCACCCATAGACCGTCAGCGGCATCCCATGGCTGTACGCACTTTGCGAATCAACCGCTCTACGATGGCGTCAACTTCATCAAGGAAACTCCGTCGACTAGGCCCTCGCCAATGCTCAAGGTTAGCATCAGCCCGAACAAAGATGAAGGCCATGTAGCTAGACGGCCACAGAGAACACAACAGGAAAAACATCACATGGCCAACTTTTCTTCATCACAGGTCCGTTGAAGCAGACATTGGAGCTACAGCTAACAGAATTACACTCTGTCGTTAGCTGTCAAAATTCACTTCCCAATTCGCTTCCATTACGAGCAACCACTATTTATATTCGAACACCAATGTCCCCCAACATCGAAATTAACGAACGCTACAGAAGAAACGAGACATTAAGCTCGCCAGCGGCTCAGGCGACATCATCAAGCAAGCACAAGGTTCCACTGGCAACCGAAATCCCCCGAGACATGCGCAGCTGATGCTTCCAATGCCTAGTCCGAAAATCCCACTGGCGACAATAACATGAAACGGCCTGCTACTGCAGATAAGGGTCTGTACGTTGCGATACTCCCTCAGACCGGCATAAGTACTGCCAAGACTTCTCGACAGTGAGAACCTTCATGACGAGGAGACCAACGCCACCATCCGCAAGTGCGTCATCATTTGGCTTTTCGGACGGGTTGTACCCTCCCCACGTCCGGCAGTGCGAAGGGAGACGTATCTCATCGTGAGAATCGGCATGGTGGAATGGAGAGGTCCCGTTCGAAGCCAACTTCGATTTTACATGGTACTGATACACCTACTCGAGGCTTTACTTGTTCATTCGAAGATACTTTTGATTCCAAATATTTGCGGCAACCTACTACGACTTCGGTCTGTAGGTTGGAATAGGGGAGGATGGTGTTTTGTGGACAACGGCTTTGTGTTTCTCTATTGACATTTTGAAGACCATCCCAGGCAAGTCTAGTGAGTTTGTTGCGCACAAGCGCCTCTGAGACTTATGTACTTTCAATACAACCTTCGTTTACGTGGACCGGCATTAGTCAGTCAACCAACATGAAGATGGCCGTAGGAAACGAAGAGACGGCTTCCCATGGGCCATGCCACCACATACTTCACTAAAATAACTCGCGAGTATTTGTAGGCGTAAGATAAATGAAATATTCAAACACAATGTTGGTTTCCCTTTCTTTCCTTCTTCCTTAAAAAGCCGCCTCAGTTTACCGCCGGCATCCCCTTTCGCACGTCTTAATGGACAACTTCCCTCAATTCTTGCCGAGGCTGCAGAATGATACCAGATTCAAGAAAACGTCTATAAATACTAAAACAGCGTGCCATACATGTCTTGGATGCTGAGCTGAACCCGGACTTTTAGATGCTCGGCCAAGGAGAGCTTTGGAATAAGCTCGTCGAGAATGCGCGACAAACATCTCTTTACACCAGGGGAGACACCCTGCCGATGCTCTGCAAACCGAGCTCGATGCAGCCACTGCCTTCCCCGACGAAGCACGCATTCCTGGTCAACTCTACTTCTATGGCTACTAATCAAAGATTCCAGCAAACTCCTAGCAAATAAGTTAGAATTATAGATAAGGGGCTGTCGCCTCCCTATACCCGAAAAGGGAGTTCCTCCTACACAACAACTTGCGGCCAATAAGGCTGTCACTGAACGCCGCCTAGGATCTTGGGTGGGGAGGTGGTAATCGCATTGAGGGAATCAAAATGACGCTGCTAACTTAATCGGTAGGTCGTTGAGAGCCTGAGACCAATACACCAACATCATGTTCTAGCACCATAAACATATCTTCAAGCCTACACGAGTGGGAATAGGCTACGTCGGGACAGTTTTGGTACGTTTTACGAGCAAGGAGTGCCGTTAGCAAAAGGGGGGGGGGGGGGGGGGGGGAGGTGGGATTGGCACAGACCAAAATAAGAGGCTACTGGGCACAAGAATGAGGGATACTACGTCGCTTTTCAAGCAATCGGTTGGCAACCATTAGATTCCTTGGGTGACATTTCGTCTGCGCTGGGCATTGGCGCACTTCTTTGCCCACGGTACTTCCTTGCGACCCGGGAGCATCTTACTGCTCTGCCACTGTGGGGTGTTTTCTGTAGTAACAGGGGGCGGTAAGCAAGGTGACCTGGACGATGAGAAAGCAAAAGCTATCGTTGTCGTTAACGTTGACGCATTCGCACTTGATGTAACTTTATACCTCCTCCACGAATCTCCTCACCTACTCTGACGAGAGCTATACTGGAGTCGTTCATTGTGGTTCCCTTTTGAGATACGGCGGCGAGGTGTCGCCAGGTCCAAGGCGGCTTCTGGTCGGGGCTTTGTTGAGCCGCCTACCTCATGACACCAGCAAAGGAAGGAGACGCGGCATAGACGTCTTTTTAAGGAAGCGCAATGCGTAGAATAAGTCGAAGTCGATGAGTAACAAGTTGGAGGCAAGACAAGCCCAGGGGGCTATGAAGGCTGCGGGAAATATCGGGGTGGCACGCTTATTAGTGAGAGAACGAGGGAATAAGGTTGGATACTGTTTGATGTAATAGATAGAAAGGATGCTGGTTACCGTTGTATTCAAGTCAACTCGGATC